GCACCTCCTTGGCCATAACCATCCCCTGCCTCCTCCTTCACTTTCGGATTCCCTCAAAGCATTTTCAACCCCCGTTCTCCATGTAACGTTTGCTAGCCACGGTAGTCAGCTAACTAGCTGGCTAACTTACATCTACGTTTTTACTTCTGACACCAATGTAATGACCTGGCTAGATCATAAATGAACAAATGTCCAGACAGAGGATGGAGTTTACGAATTCCCAGTTTATTAACCAAACTCAACACAGGCTACTGTTTGGCCCTAGCCCACACCAAATAAATCAAAGATAACAGTATAAAACAACAGTGACCATCTCTTGTTAAGACAAGACGTAAGAGAGAGAACAATGGCTAAAAAATTGTCTTAAACTTGCGTGTGTCAGTGTGCAGCGGTAGGACGGAGTCAAGCGCAGGACACAGAACTGAGTAAATAACGAAATAGGGAAATAATCATAACGTGATGGGAACCAGGTGTGTACAATCAAGACAAAACAACATAGAAAAAGAAACGTAGATCGGTGGCAGCTAGAAAGCCGGTGACGACGACCACCGATAGCCGCCCGCACAAGGAGAGGCACCAACTTCGGCGGAAGTCGTGACAGTACCCCCCAGCAGCGCGCTGACACCGGCCTCGGGGACGACCCGGAGGACGAGGCGCAGGACGATCCGGGTGGCGGCAGTGAAATTCCTGCAGTAAGGAAGGGTCCAGGAAGTCCTCCACCGGCACCCAGCATCTCTCCTCCGGACCGTACCCCTCCCACTCCACAAGGTACTGAAGGCCCCTCGCGCGACATCTTGAGTCCATGATGGCTCGCACAGTATACACTGGGGCCCCCTCGATTTCAACCTCCCGTACCTCAGACTGCTGAAGCGGACCAGCAACCACCGGCCTGAGGAGAGACACATGGAACGAGGGGTTAATAAGGTACTCAGGGGGAGCTGTAACCTATAACATACCTCGTTCAGTCTCCTCAGGACTTTAAATGGCCCCACAAATCGCGGACCCAGCTTCCGGCAGGGCAGGCGAAGGGGCAGGTTTCGGGTCGAGAGCCAGACACCGGGGCCTCACTGCAGCGTCCCATGTCTCCTCAGAGCGCCGAAACCATTCCTCCACCGCAGGTGCCTCGATCTGGCTCTGATGCCACGGTGGAAGGACCGGCTGATAACCTAGTACACACTGAAACGAGACATGTTAGTGGAGGAGTGGCGGAGGGAGTTTTGGGCCATCTCTGCCCAGGGGATGAAAGCCACCCACTCCCCTGGCCGGTTCTGGTAATAGGACCGCAGAAACCTACCCACATCCTGGTTTACTCTCTCCACCTGCCCATTACTCTTGGGGTGAAACCCTGAGGTCAGGCTGACCGAGACCCCCAGACGTTCCATGAACGCCCTCCAGACCCTCGATGTGAACTGGGGACCCCGATCAGACACTATATCCTCAGGCACCCCGTAGTGCACTGAGCGTACACCGAGCAGGAGGAAACATAAACCCTCACATCCTTAGCTAAAGTGGGCCACCAGTACTTCCCACTAAGACAGCGCACTGTCCGACCGATGCCAGGATGACCAGAGGAGGGTGACGTGTGAGCCCAACAGATCAATCGATCGCGGACATCAGATGGAACGTACATACGCCCAACTGGACACTGGGTGGGAGTGGGCTCCGTACGTAACGCCTGCCCGATGTCCGCGTCAACCTCCCATACCACCGGTGCCACCAGGCAAGAAGCCGGAAGTATGGGAGTGGGATCCGTGGACCGCTCCTCTGTGTCATACATCCGGGACAGAGCGTCTGCCTTAGCGTTCTGGGAACCTGGTCTGTAGGACAGGGTGAAAACAAAACAGGTGAAAAACATGGCCCACCTTGCCTGGCGAGGGTTCAGTCTCCTCGCCGCCCGGATGTACTCCAGATTGCGGTGGTCAATCCAAATGAGGAAAGGGTGTTTAGCCCCCTCAAGCCAATGTCTCCACGCCTTCAGAGCCTTGACCACAGCTAACAGCTCCCGGTCCCCCACATCATAGTTTCACTCCGCCGGGCTGGGCTTCTTCGAAAAGAAAGCACAGGGGCGGAGCTTTGGTGGGCTCCTATCCCAGCCTCGGACGCATCCATCTCTACTATGAATGCTAATGAGGGATCCGGATGAGCCAGCACGGGAGCCAAGGTAAACAAAGCCTTCAGGTGACCAAAAGCCCTGTCCGCCCCAGCTGACCCCTCCGGTAGTAGTTGGCAAACCCCATCTCCACTCCTGACGCGGACAGGCGGTACCCTAGGAAGGAGACGGACTGTTGGAAGAACAGACATTTCTCAGCCTTGACGTACAGGTCATGCTCCAACAGTCGACCAAGCACCTTGCGCACCAGGGACACATGCTCGGCGCGTGTAGCGGAGTATATGAGAATGTCATCTATATACACCACTACACCCTGCAGGTCCCTGAAGATCTCGTCTACAAAGGATTGGAAGACTGATGGAGCATTCATCAACCCGTACGGCATGACAAGGTACTCATAGTGCCCAGAGGTGGTACTAAATGCAGTCTTCTACTCATCCCCCTCCCGGATACGCACCGGGTTGTACCGTCTACCTGGAGATTTATTGCACAATCTCCCCGTCGATGGGATGGTAATTGAGTCGCCATCTTTTTACAGAAGGCGAGAGCCAATTCGGCATAGTCGGTGGGAATGTGCATGGGGGAGACCTGGTTTGGACTTTCCACCGAATTTGCACCGATGGAAACACCTACACACCTCCCTGAGCACTGACGTGACCATCCCTTCAGAGCCCTCTGTTGCCATTAAATAGTGGGGTCATGATGGGCCAACCAGGGAAGCCCCAACACCACAGGAAACGCAGGAGAATCGATCAGGAAGAGACTAATTCTCTCCTCATGACCCTCCTGCGTTATCATCCATAGTGGAGCTGTGACCTCCCTAATCAGGCCCGACCCTAAAGGACAACTATCTAAAGGCATGGACAGGAAAGGGCACATCAACAGGAACAATAGGGATCCCTAATCTAAGTGCAAATGCAAGGTCAATAAAGTTCCCAGCTGTGCCTGAATCTACTAACACCTTATGCTGGGAATGCGGGGAAAACTCAGGAAACTCTGTGCAGACATACATGTGATCAACAGGGAGCTCTGGGTGAGTCAGGTGCCTACTCACCTGGGATGATCCACCAGTGCCCTGCCTGCTGCCTCGACTCCCTGGGGAACCTCCCCAGCACCGACCAGCAGTGTGCCCTCTGCGGCCACAGGTGGTGCAGGAAACGGCCCCCCCTCTGGTCACCCTACGAGCAGCACCTCCGAGCTCCATAGGTGTAGACTCGGAAGTGCTGGGGGATGGAATGGACGGACCCCAATCCGAGCGTCCGTGGGTGGCCAACAGGTTATCCAGCCGGATGGATAGATCCATCAGCTGGTCGAGGGTAAGGGTGGTGTCCCTGCAGGCCAGCTCCCGACGAACGTCCTCCCGTAGACTACACCGGTAATGGTCGATCAGGGCCCTCTCATTCAATCCCGTGCTGGCAGCCAGGGTCCTGAAGTCCAGTGCGAAGTCCCATGGACCAAGGGGTGGACAGTGGTGGGGTTTGAGGTGAAGTTGATGGGGGTGTGGAAAACCCCTCTCTCTCCCATCGCTCCATGGTGTGCTGCTGGACGCGCTCCTCCACCGGTACCGGAGGACTGGGTGCACCTGCTGACTCCATATGTGGTGCGTGATTCTGTCAGGTGTCAGTGTGCAGCGGTAGGACGGAGTCAGGCGCAGGACACAGAACTGAGTAAATAACAAACTTTACTCGCAAAACAACAAATCTAATTTCCACGCAGGGAAATAAAACAGCTCACAGCAGTATACAACACCAAACATAGAACAATCACGCACAAAACCATGAGGGAAGCAGAGGGTTAAATAGGGAAATAATCATAATGTGATGGGAACCAGGTGTGTACAATCAAGACAAAACAACATAGTAAAAGAAACGTAGATCGGTGGCAGCTAGAAAGCCGGTGACGACGACCGCCGATAGCCGCCCGCACAAGGAGAGGCACCAACTTCGGCGGAAATCGTGACAATGTGTGTGATTTGGGGGTATAGAAAATATTATTTCGAAATGTATAAAGATTTTTTTTAAATTAACAATAGCAGCCATGTTGACACTGCCATGTTGATCTGAGCCTTGCTCTTGGAAAATCACCACTGTCTGACTTTTGGCTGTCGCAGATGCCCCTCCCCCGACTTCACTCGCCGACTTTCTCTTACAATCGGCTTCGTTAATGTTCAATCTTCCTTCTATATTGCCCATGCAGCATTTACGGTGATATACGCTTCGCCGAGCAGCGCAGAGCTGTTGTGAAGGAAGTGAGTTTGTGTTTATACAGGACCTCCCACCGTCACCTACCGTCAACCAATCATGTCAATGCGGAGCTATAAGAGTCCTCGGCATTGTTACAAAATTTGAGAGCATAAAAAAAATCTAGCATAAATTGGCTGTTAGCATTACTGCTCGAACACATCCAGTGGCCGTCACACCCAATGGTCGTGTCACTCTGCTCAGACGTTGCTGACGTATGCCAGATCTTACAAGGCCTGGATAGGTATATTATGTATCAGGTAACCACATCATATGTTATAGCAATCTGGTTCCCGACTTCACGGTCGATGACGTGGCACGCAACCATTGGTTGATGGGTGCAACATCTGAGCAGGGGAACACGATCAATGATATTTATATAGCTGGGGAGATAGAGTACAGGGATATAGCAGAGAAAGTGAGGGGAATTCGGGATTGAAACAGCTGCCTCCAGGGGCATATTTGAGGCATTTATTGTTGATTTCGTTTGGTAAAATGGTATGGCTCTTTTGATTGATGCCACAGTAAAAGAGAGTGGATCTATTGAATCCCCCAGTGAAGTCAGTTTAGCTCCCAAACCCTCTTATGTTCCTCTGTATGTTAGGCTTCATGGTAGGCAACTACACAACACAAAATGGTGGAAACAATAGTGATCTTGTGCTCTTGTTTATTGGAAATATGATACACTCTGACAGGAACAATATACATCCTATCCTAACAGACATACCCTGGGTTATGTGTTGATGCATTTGTCATATCATAAAATGCCTTTGTGGTTTACTTGTGTTGGAGTATATAACTAGCCACATTGGCGATGGGTTGTTAAGAATCTACCACAGGCTGTTGAACAGATAGCTCTATGTTCTGATGAAGAAAAGGCAGTAAAAAAAAAAGCAAGGAATTGCCACAAGCGCTGTTTCCTTAGTTTGAATAAAGCCTTTATTGCCTATTTTAATACATGTCATGGTCAGTACATGGTAGCCGCTGGAGGATAGTGTCAGGTGGATTTAGTGCTGGATTCTGCGGATAGACTGGACCTGGTTGGTGTGAGCCTGGGTGCTGTACTCGTTGTAGTGTCTGTACTCTCCCTGGTGTCTGTCTCTCTCCAGGATGTACTGGTAACCACGGTAACCAGGGAACTGATAGGCCACCCAGCTGTGAAGAGAAGGGCATATGTTATTCAGATGAACAAAATACTGATGAGGCTGCTTTGTAGATAATATGTGCCCTGATGCAGTCCTATGCTGTCATGAAATCTACAAAACCACCAGGAACGAGTTTGGGAAACCCTATATGAAGGCATGTAGGATGCAGAGATAATGGGATACTGGTACTCCCTGTAAATAGACATGTTATTTTTGCTCCTTATCATTATACATCATTCACTGTGTATTTATTCCTCGTGTCACTATTTATAGTTTTAATTAACATTTTAACTTTAACTCTGCATTGTTGGAAAAGGATCTGTAAGTAAGCCTTTCACTGTTAGTCTACACCTGTTGTTTACAACGCATGTGACAAATACAATTTGATTTGATTTGAGACTTACGCTCCGGAATTGACTTTAATTGAGGGAACCTCCTTGCTGCACCAGCCCATAGCCTGTAGAGAGGGGTAGTCATCGCACATCTCGAACTTGCGTCCCTGGAAGTCTTCACACTCGTACAGAGTCACCTTGCTGTCACTGTGGTTCTGTTGATAGAGATAGATGAGCCTTGATTAGTTTCACATATAGTTTCATTCATATTTTTAGAAAAATCCAAAACAGATGGATTTGAGAGTTGTGTATGATGATACGATATAAACTATAGAATCATGTGTGAATCTATTAACCGTCAATAAAACATTATTAGTATTCCTGTGCTTCATTCCTAAATGTGATTCAGATGTATGCTTTTCTTTATTCTTGAAATGACACATTTCTGTGGGAGGAACTTACAGCGCACTTGATAGGTCTGAAGGAAAGCATGTGCTCGGTTCTGTAACTGCTGTTTCCGCTCCAAGCCTCGTAACGGGGATAGTCTCCCTTCTCAAGGATAAACTGCTGGCCCTGGAACTCAGGGTACTCATAACCCAACCAGCTAAAACACAGGCAGGGAGAGAGAAAAAAAGAGAGGGAATGAGAACGAAAGAGAGAAAATTCAGGTTGGTTAACAAAAGCGCAACGCCCCATGGCAGAGAGAGCTTTGTTGATTAGAAGACAAAGGGCCAAAGCAAACACCACATGCTGCGCCTTTGGACCATTATCAGATCATCAGTCAGCCACTGCAACAGAACACTAGGCAGGCAGCTGGGACTCAATGGAGATTACAACTATGGCCTGACTTTGACTGACTGTCAGAAACAAAACAACAAGCTATATTTCAGGCTAATAACTCACACCAATCGGTGATCTCTCATATTGTGTTCAGCTATAACATTTGGTCCATAACAATGTAAAAAGCATACGTAAACTATATTGCAAAGAAATTTGCCAAAATCTTTGAATCGAAAATAACAGTCATTATGAGATTCCATCTTTTATAGTCAGACTGTCAAGTGTTAAGGGACATGATAATGATAATTAAATGTAGCATTGTCATATATTGTAGTATCACAACAAATGAAATGACACAGCTTTGCTTAGAGGGCCGGTTCACAACAGTACAGTACAACTGCAATGTAGAATTTAATATTCAAGTATACATTAGCTTCTGAGAGGAACTAGGGCTAGAAATGAATGTTATATATTGAATACATTTCTCACTTCTTACTCAAACATAACTAGAACTAATTACCTGAAAAACCTCGAAACCATTCATTGACCGAACAAACTCCATGGGTTTAATGTAGTACTACTACTCTGTCATAGTAATGTAGTACTACTCTGCTAATAATGTAGTACAGCTCCTCGGCTGTAGGCTAGTAGAGTAGAAATCCAAAGAGAGACTTACGGTCCGTTCTCGACCTTGATGGAGCGGATCTTGTGGAATCCCCTCTCCATGATGTTCTGGCACTCCAGCATGAACTCACAGCGCTTGCCCTGGAAGTTCTCCTCCTCCCAGACAGTGATCTTGAACTGCCCCATCTGTTCCATTTGCTGAGTGTTCATGGTTGCTATTTCCACCGTGGGGGTTGCTCTCTACCAAAACGGGACAAGGAAGACCAGAGGTGAGGAAACTAGGCTAAAATGGAATGCTTCACTCTGGGAGCTCTGGTATCTCTACATAAAAGTGAACATTGATTTCGTAGCAAAGTGCGTACCACACATTTTTTTTCAAAGGAGTTGAGCTCTCAGTTTGAACTGGGGAAATATGAGATAAAAAATCTCAGATATATATCTCCCATATTGGATGTCATCAATCCCCTTTCTTGGTACACCAATGCACAGGAATCAGATGTTCACGTACTACCTAGGTAGTGTGAAATACTTACAGACAGTACTGAGGTGGGACAGATCCAGTGTAACAATGTTGAGTCCTAGGCCCCCACTTCTGTTTTTATACTACCAAGCCCCTTGTTTATTGCCGCTTTCGCACAAGCCTTGCATACTCAGCAGCAGCGGGCTGAAAGCATGCATTAGTCCACACCATTGTGGAGGCTCCTGAGGCCCATTGTTAGAGGCTTAGATCCCCTGAGTCATCAAAATGGCACCCAGGGCCTGTGCCTGCCTGACGGCCGACCACAATAGCAACACACTGACACGACAGTTTGATTGGAAATTGGGGATAATGGCAGCATTCTGGGAGATTAACCCCAGTGGTGGGTACAAGGGCACCAATGCTTCCCTCAGTCCACAAGTATGGCTGCCTCTACCTCTACCCCAGGCTCTGCACAGCACCCACCCAACATGGCATCACTGTCATCTTTCATAGGATTCAACATGGGAAGACAGACAGATTTTATGATCAATAATTCAGATCCTTTAATGTTGGATCATGTTTGTACTTCATAAGGTTCAAAAGAAAGCTTTTGAAATGTATAACCTTTTTAATACCTGTTGTTTTCCCCAATAAATCTATTCTCATATTAACTGAAAGGATCATGAGGAAAGATTCTGACTTGTTTCTAGCAGCACTAATTTCTCAGCCATTTACAATGTTGTTTTGAGTGTTTGTCAGTTACTGAATTTTCAATGGGTCCGAATTTTTTCTGTGCCTTTGTGAGGCTTATGAATGCAAAGTGGAATGTGCATGAGTGACTTATGAATGTGTATCATATCTTCAAAAAGGCGCTTTGATATTGCAACTTAACTTTTTGATCTGGATTCTCTGTATAATAACACAAATGGAACCTAGTGATGTAAGTCAATTGGAGTAATACTTGTCTGTAGTGACATCTTGTGGCATAACAGTTCATTACAGTGACTGGTGATAATAGCCGGTAAATATGATGACGATGCATTCGAAGTGAGGCAACATATCACAGAAACATATGGTCCGGTCAGGTGAGGTTGTACTGGATATGCTTTTACATTAGCGATGTGGTGCCTGCTCTAGTCTTTGTTTGCGTCCCAAAAGACACCTATTCCTTATGTTTGACCAGAGCCCATATAGTGCACTACTTTTGACCAGAGCCCTGGACAAAAGTAGGGCACTATGTAGCGAACAGGGTGCCATTTGGGACGCATTCTATATTGTATTTGCTGATGGAAATGTACAAATAATCAGACTTCAGACTTGGATGGTTCCTCTGCAATGTGTTATTATTGTATTTACACCCTTTGCTGCTGTCTCTGTGTGTGGCCAAACGTATGCCTACATCCTTTATTGCTTGTGTGTACAGCAGTCCCTTTGAGTGGGGCTGGTTCCATTGTTCTGTCTTACCTGTGTGGCCTTGTTTGGCTTGGGGCAGGTGGACAATGAGACACGGTGACAGAGCACTAGTCACCCAGCTGCTGGCCTTTGATCCCCCATTGGATAGATTAGATTTGTCACCTCATCAGCTGACGCCTCATTTCACTGGGAAATGTAGCTCTCCCTATTTGCATCTGACAACATAGGGCCTATAGTAGCCTACAGCCTCATAACTCAACACTCGACTTTCAATCTTTATCTTCTCTGCAGTGGTGGTACAATAGGCTAGTCTATTCTTCTGAACTGGTCGCATTGCTCTCTGATAGAGGGATATTGCTAATTAAGTATGGAAATATCGTTTGTACCATTTGTACATTTATACATGAAAGGTGACCTTTTCCAAACAAAATACAGTATGTTGTGAAATGTGAACTATGAACTGATCCGATGCATTTGACATTTTAGTCATTTAGCAGACACTCTTATCCAGAGTGACTTACAGTTAGTGGATTATTCTTAAGATAGCTAGGTGGGACAACCACATATCACAGGCATAGTAAGTACTACAATTTTCCTCAATAAAATTGAGGGGGGTGGGGGGGTCAAGCGCAAGTGTTGCTTCAGGAAAGTATTTTTGTGTGTTTTAGTTTCTTTTATTGTGCATTAGACTAGAGCAGCATAGTTTGTATTCATTTGTAAAAATTAATTTTTTATAAGAAATAACTTATTTGTGTCTGATAAAAACAGACACAACACAAAGAAATAACACTTTCTATGATACATACACAGATAATGCCTACAAGTGCATTAGTAATGCCTTCTAATACACTTATTACTCATTATAAGATATCATAATTGCTCATCAGTAGTTCTAGCATCCTTATAATACATTGCTGTAATGCATTAGCCCAGAGAGCACACCTCAACAGGTTGAGCATTTCATTTAGCAATGTTGGCACAATGTTTGCCCTTCTGAGTAGCCTAACCTGCAAACAGCTGGCTGAGGTGCAGGCTGGAAGAACCAGTCAGCCAGGCAGCAACCAGAGCAAACAACATTATTTGAATATCTGTTTTTTTTCTACCTCCCAGCATTTTCTCGTATCTGTTCATTGTATCTTGCACTGTTTGGGAATAAACCATAGAGTGATATGAGATTAACCAGGATAGAGACAACTAGTTTTTTTAAATACAATTTTCCGTTTACATCAATAGCCTTCCATAGGACAACATGCATATGTGTGATAACTGTGTGGAGTAAGTGAGGCAGACCGTTTCTCAGGATCCAGTTTCTCCATGGTAACAGAGCCAGCCAGCCCAGTCAGGGAGGTTGCATAAGCATTGATGTATTGTCAGGAAGTGATGCTGCTATTGCTCTGGAAAACAGACATGTTTTTTTATCATGACGCTCCATTTTTATTCACACATTCATCGTTTCAGGTAGCCCTTCAAATGTATTTTGTAGTTATTTTATTTGTATTTATACAGGGAGGCAACATTGACACAGATCTCTTTAAGTCAACCACTCAAACAACATACAAAAACGCAATGCATATAGTATTTAAGAGAAGACTGCTATTTACATATTTGAACCAAGTACATATCCATACACATCCTGAGATCACATGGTAAGTCAGGCTTATTTAACTTGTAAATGTCTGCTTTACATACAAGTATATGAACACCTGCTCGTCAAACATCTCATTCCAAAATCATGGGCATTAATATGCAGTTGGTCCACCCTTTGCTGCTATAACAGCCTCCACTCTTCTGGGAAGGCTTTCCACTAGACGTTGCAACATTGCTGCGGGGTCTTGCTTCCATTCAGCCACAAGCACATTAGTGAGGTCGGGCACTGATGTTGGGTGATTAGGCCTGGCTCGCAGTCAGCGTTCCAATTAATCCCAAAGGTGTTCGATGGGGTTGAGGACAGGGCTCTGTGCAGGTCACTCAAGTTCTTCCACTCTGATCTCGACAAACCATTTCTGTATGGACCTTGCTTTGTGCACGGGGGCATTGTTATGCTGAAACAGGAAAGGGCCTTCCCCAAACTGTTGCTACAAAGTTGGAAGCACAGAATCATCTAGAATGTCATTGTGTGGTGTAGTGTTAAGATTTCTCTTCACTGGAACTAACGGGCCTAGCCCCAACCATGAAAAACTGCCCCAGACCATTATTCCTTCTCCACCAAACTTTACAGTTGGCACTATGCATTGTGGCAAGTAGCATTCTCCTGGCATCCACCAAACCCAGATTTGTCCGTCAGACTGCCAGATGGTGAAGCGTGATTCATCACTCCAGAGAAGGCGTTTCCACTGCTCCAGAGTCCAATGGCGGCGAGCTTTACACCACTCCAGCTGACGCTTGTCATTGCGCATGGTGATCTTAGGCTTGTGTGCGGCTGCTCGGCCATGGAAACCCATTTCATGAACCTCCCGAAGAACAGTTATTGTGCTGACGTTGTTTCCAGAGGTAGTTTGGAACTCGGTAGTGAGTGTTGCAACCGAGGACAGACGATTTTTACGCGCTTCAGCACTCGGTGGTCCCATTCTGTGAGCTTGTGTGGCCTGTCCACATACTTTTGTATATATAGTGTACCTGATCAGACACTGATTTCACCATGTGCAAATATTCAGTAGTAGCACCTTTCTTCAGAATCTTGCCTTGAGAAGACACACCTCAGTAGTTGATAAGTGACACATACAATACAATTTTGTCTGATGTGAATCGGAAATTTCTCTTTTTGCTTTTTTACGTTAAATTAAACTCAGTTCCAGTAATGGCTATAAGGTTGTAAATGGACAGATCTTGTTTTCTGCGTCAATGTGAGTTGGTGCTATTTGAATTGTCAGTGAGTATGCACACTCAGACTACGACCAAATGACCTGCTCCCTGTGTGTTTTTTTCCCTCTCTGCTGCTATAGAAACTAATCCTCCTAAGGACAAATTTGAACAGGACCAGACAGCTCATGCAGGTGACATCTGCTCTGTGATTGGCTCTGGGTCGGAGTGAACCACAACAGGCAGGCAGGTTTTACCCGAGGACAGCGAAAGTGTGCGTCCGTAATGGCAACCTATTCCCTATATAGGGTACCCATAGGGCTCTGGTCAAAAGTAGCTCACTATATAGGGAATAGGGTGCCATTTCAGACGCATCCAGAGAGGTGCTGCAGTCCTGTGTTCTCTCCCTACCTCCCTCTCCTCACCATACCCCACCCCATTCTCTGTGCTCACTGCTCAGGTAAAGCCAGGCAGTTACAGGAGAAACAACCCCCAGGCATTTACATAACCATTAGCAACCTCTTTAACTGTCATTTGAAACAGCACACAGCCCACGGGCAACGCTTGCCCTCCACATAGGCAGTAGGTAGCAGTTGAGCAGGCATCACAAATGCAATCATGCTTTTCTACAGACACACACAATTGTCCAAATGTTATTATAGCCACAGGTTGAAATATTAATATTGGGGAAAAAACTGAGTTTATTTTATCATACACATAATTCTCTCAAAAGTATATAACAGGTTAAGGAGAAGGTTGATTTTATAGCTGAAAAGTCAGACTTTATTGACACTCACTTTTTAGAACAATAGCCTATGAGAGAACCAACCCAAACTGTTGTATATGTTGCTGAGACAGGGCAAATAATCATTTTAGTTGTCCTAGTCACGTTTATCCATAAAACAGAACAGATAATAAATGATAAGTACCTATTGCATTATGAAAGACTGAAAGATTGAAGACTTAATAAATAATAATACACGTTTGACATATTTTACAGAGCCAATAACTGCTCTGTAGAGTAAGTTGAGGAGGTGTTATTTTGGAGGTTTAGGGTGTAACTGCAGCATGAACTGTCGTGGGCAGGTGACCAGGATACAGGCTGTGAGATCCCCTTAATCTGACTTTAAACAAATATTTACTGGAGCTTAGTCAAATAGGGATACATGAGAGCAGAAATAATGACATTTGAAAGCTTTTACCCTGCTGTTTATTGTTTCACGCAACGAAAACTGGATATGCAAATGTCTCCTGCAGTTATGCTCAAAATAGAATGGAACTATACAGATACCGGAGGTACAGCCTTCAATAATCTGGGTGGTGGGGGACTGGGTACTACAGTTGATACTGTCTGAGGAGGAAACTGGAAGAGTGACTGAAATGTATGCAAGACAATGATAGACCTGTAGTGTATGATGTCTCTGTGCTAAACTGAAATGCAACATGTTTTACAATGCATGAGCAATAGAGAACACTGCTTAAAAGTTTGTATCATGGTGTGGTGAATTTATGATGAGCTGTAGTTTATAGGCTACATTCTCCATGTATTGGAATAAAGTCCACACACCCATGAATGTCATAGTTAATGTAACATAGTAGCCTAGCCTGTACATCGGTGCAGATCCCAGGAAGATGAGGATCCAAACAGCAGATGGTCAATATCAGATGGCTGCTCTTTGGCTGGTTAATGATTAACAAAACTGGTACTTTATCATCATTAGACCATGTCAATAAAGAAAAACCTACTGGCATTTAATTAAAGGCAGTACTAGGTAGCCTAATAAAAGTATAATACCTAGTCATAAAATCCACGGAGAGACGCGCATACTAAGTTATATTGAGTGAGCAAATGTCTAAAAAACGCTCATTTTTAAATGGTCACGAAAACTTTATCGATACATACAGCAAAATAAATTATCCACATGCTAAAAAATTGGGGTCGATATTTTGTATCCGTTGTCTTCAGAGGGAAATTAACCCAAATGTTCAAACCACATAAGATATTCAATATAGCCTAATGAATGCAAAACACGAAATGTTGTATGACTATAATAATTTTAGTGTACAAAAAGTTAGTATTTGTCACAGGACAGCAGCATAAACGACATATGTCACAATATGAACTTGCTCTTGCTGCTTTGTAGAAAATCTGTACCTGCTTAACGCGAGCCGAACGAACAAAACTTCATCTTCAGGTATTGTGCGTATGGCTCAACGTGAGGCAAATACAGAAAATCAATCCAAATGTGATGATGATCTTAGACTACACTATCATGTTTGTACTCTCCATATGTTGCTCCATCCACACACCTGGAAAGAAAGTAGCAAAAGTTACTGTTGTCTGTAAAATTGTCATTTACATTTAATCCTACATACACATTTGTCCGAGATGAAACTTACCATTGCCTATCTATTGTCGAAAAAAAGTGAGTGGTTTTAAAAAACGCACTAGATCGGTAACACCTGCAAATTGTGCTCATCTTGTAGGCAACACTGAATGCGTGTGGCCCGTTGCAGGTAGCCTATATATACTCCTGACATGGTAGGCCATCCTTCCATTTAGCTTCACTCTCTCACTTTTTTTTCCAGGTTGGTTTTAAAGAGAGAGAGGATTCTCCAGCGGACACCTGTCGCATGGTGCGTTGCTCAGATCCAATATTGACACAATAGTCTGGGGAGTGCAGATGAGTTAAACTCCTCTCTATAAAGCCAACCCTTCCCTCTCTATGCAAACCAACAGTGCGTTGTGCTCCCTCCAATCGAAGAGATGTCAGGATTTGTTGACCTTTGTGCTCGCGCTGAACGTGTAGCGAATGGGGCCATTGAAAGGTGGCTTCATTCACCTGTGTTCAAGGTAGCAGAAAACCCACCTGCCTTCCTACTCCCATGTCATTTACACATATTTCCATATCATGTGAGTTGCAAATTAGGTCCTTTAATACCCAACATCAGACCTTCCCTTCCAAAAAGACTGGGGTGTGTTATTTAGGCTATGCCTGATGTCACAAATAGTAGAAAGTAAGTAGATCTCATAACTGAAACAAGCCCTGCATATTTACTGTTTATTAACGATTAGGGTACAGCAGCTGGCACATCACCCAGAACCATAGAGGTCTATGGACTAAAGTGGTTTATCACACATTGGCATTGCATAACTACTGTTGTGAACACAACTCACGTGTTTGTTGTAATGTTGATGAACAAATACACAATACAGCTTGTTTTGTAAGCTGAATCTTTCAACGGTCATCCATCATATGGCCTCCTGTAGCTCAGTTGGTAGAGCATGGCGCTTGCAACGCCAGGGTTGTGGGTTCGATTCCCACGTGGGCCAGTATGAAAAATATATGCACTCACTAACTGTAAGTCGCTCTGGATAAGAGCATCTGCTAAATGACTCAAATGAAAAATAAAGATAGCATGCCTAGCATCCACTGTGTTCTTCTGTAGAAATCACCCTTGATGCAAAGGAACAGAATCCTAGGCTAGAGATTTTTATAGTGACTTCAAAGAACATTGATAATTACAGCAAATATATTTATTAAATTAATTTCACAACTCCATATTATTGGTTAACACAAATAACCTACATTTCATTTTTCAAAATGCTCATATAAAAATAACACTATGGAGGGAAAAAAATCCTGAAATGTGTCCCTGTTGCCAAACATTAGCATTGTCGCATGCAAGGGTTATAACAAGTGGCTATAAGAGAAAGAACAGGCCCCAGCAGCTGTTTGGAGGGAATAATCATGGTTTCACATTAGCAATGTGGTGCCTGCTCTAGTCTTTGCCTGTAGCCCAAATGGCACCCTATTCCCTATATAGTGTACTACTTTTGACCAAGGGCTCTAGTCAAAAGTAGTGCACTATACAGGGAATAAGGGTGCCCTTTGGGACGCATCCCTATTGTTTGACTTTTCATTGGCTTGATGCGGTGAGTCTCTTGACGTAGGCGTTCCAGCCTGCCTCTCTGTACTCTGCAGCAGCCTTCACCCTATCAGAGGCCCCCAGGATACCACGGCCAACGATGATGATGTCAGAGTCTTTTTTACAGATCACATCATCAGGACTGGAGTACTGCTGCCCCAGACCGTCTCCTGAATAAGAAAGCAGGGAGATGATCAATGAACAGTGTGGTGCTGAAGAAAACGCCACCCTACAGTTATATCTGGAATCAAGGGCTGCATTCAAAATGGCACCCTATTACCTACATAGGGCCCTGGTCAAAAGCAGTGCACTATGTAGGTAATAGGGTGCGATTACAGTCACAACCAAGATGACAAATGATCCAGTCTATATTTCTTGGACAATAGCACCATCTAGTGGCAAGGAGAGATTATGTCAGGAAGAAAATTGCCTGAGAATGTTGTTGGTAAAACACCATAAAGAACACTGGACAGGATGAATGATGTGGTTAGCAGGTAGAGAATGTAGTACCTCTTGACTGCATCTGCACCCCTGGAGTCATATGTAGGAACTCAGGCTTGCTGCTGATCTTGGAGCCAGAGATGAACCCAAACACAAAGTCAGAGTGCTCCTCAGCCATTTTCACCTATAGGGATGACAGACACAATCATATTAAATCCTCAAGGATGAAATATTAAGGATTACATTAAGGTAATCAACTAGTACTTCAGTTAAACTGCCTGATGATGGAAGAATTCATCTATTTTGGAATGGAAAAATTACACTATGTATGCAAACATCATTAAAACATACTGAAACGTATCAGGCTTTCACTGTTGCCCTGCGAGGTGACAGTATGTCCTGCATGGGACACATTGCAGAGGGTGGTGGGAGGTAAGAGAAAGGGACAGAACATTCTGTTGTCATGGCATTCTCACTGAGGAACAGCTGGCTGGAGCGTTTGCTTACCACAGCCTGCGTGTAGTTCCCTGTTGCTAGGGAACCCTGGGAGCTCATCTGAGCTATGAGGAGACAGCCGCGGTCCAGTGGGAGGCCCACCACACTGAGCCCCTCTACCACCCCAGGGCCTGGCACCGCATGGGCATTCACCATATGAGACCACGAGGAGATCTGGTAGAGCCCACCTGAAAAATACAGAGGAAAACACACAACAGTCAGGAGACTTAGAAATACTAGCAACCAGGCATTCATTAGGATGGATTAGGATTCAAAAGCATGTTTCAAAGGTTTAGGGGACAAATACAGTAAAACAATGGCCCTTATTTGCTGGAGTTAGACCATGCATCCATTAAAAAAATGGGTGCATTAGTTTTGCATCGCTCGGTGCCCTGGGTGGGCGGAGATTGCACATTTTAGACCATTCTTTTGGTCCTAAAGTGAAATCTCCACCCACCTGGGGCAAACGGCGATGCAAAATCAGTGTGCCCACTAATCACCTTCATACTGGTGCTTGACCGTGTTCCCGATGTCAGCAAACTTGCGGTCCTCAAAGATGAGGAAGTTGTGTTTGACGGCCAGGTCTCTGAGGGACTGGATGAATGCTGGGCTGAAGTCCTGCAGGATGTCCACGTGAGTTTTCAGCACGCACATATGAGGCCCCAGAGAGTCAGCCAGCTGCAGCAGCTCCTCGCAGCCTGTCACGTCCGCCGACACACACAGGTTGGTCTTCTTCTCCTCCATCAGCCTGAAGAGCTGGGCGGCCAGAGGGTGTGTGGTTTGGAGCTGGGCCCTGTTTCCATAGCTCAGCTCCGCCAGCTTGCTGGGCTTCTTAGCCGTAGGCGAGCCGTTCTTCTCCTCCTCCCCAGAGGGCTTGTAAGTGTTGTTCTCCTGGATGAACCTGCGCACGCTCTGGGCCGTGGAAGAATCGATGCGCTCCGCCTGGAGCAGGACATCGAGGAGTTTGGAGATGGAGATGACGGAGTGGAGCGTGATGCCCTTCTTGGCCAGCATGGCCCTACCTCCCTGCTCCCTGTCCATCAACACGATGGCGTCAGTGACCTTTAACCCCTCCGCCTGGAGCACCAGGGCCGTCTCCATGACGCTGCTGCCGCTGGTCACTACATCCTCGATGATCAGACACGTGTCTCCAAGGTGAATGGTCCCCTCTATAATCTTCTTAGTTCCTAGAATCAAGAGATGATAGATGTCTGATATGAGAGATCTGAAATCTAATGTAAATAACTAGCAAGTGTTAGACTACAGCATTTTAACTGTTGACTGAACTGATGGGATGCAGCAAAAAACACTGTCATAATGAGAATAATCACATTTGACCAGTCATGAAATCGCACCATAGTCTTTGGCTTCTTTTCTTCTGATGAGCATAGGCAGCTCGTGTTTGGAGCAGATTATTGTAGCCAGGGGCAGAGCAGTGTATGGTACACCACACAGTGAGTTGTATTTCAAGTCCTCATCTTTGGCGCGTTGGTAAAGATAACTTGACACCTAAAGACAAAACAAACGCCAACAAACTCCAACATAAACTCATAACATACATATTTTACAACTAGTTGGTCTTGGTTCGATTGCCTCCGAACAGACTAAATACTGTAGATGTTGTTTCCAATACAGTGCCACTCATGGGAAGCACGTGTTTACCAACCTGGTTCATGAGAGATGGATAGGAAACAATAACTCTGAGATCAAAATAAATCGGCGACGCTATTCCACTCTTCAGCGTGAACGTTCCGAATTTCACGGCCTGAACATCATGCAACTTTAAGATTAAACTTTCAAGGCAAACGTTTTCCATTTTCAATACGATTTACTAATTTCAATAGGATAGACAGGCGTCTCATCGGAAACAGAAACCTGTTCCGCTTACGAATTACCGCGCGGAACTATGGGATATGTCGTTTTAACGTTATTGCGTTGCTCCAGCCAATCGTTTCCAGCCATATTATAAATCATTGATCATCACAAGCAAACAACACCAGCCACGTTGCGTACGCGAGCGTTGTGAAAAAAATGTACACATACATTTGGTATTTAATTAGGATCCCTGTTAGCTGTTGCGAAAGCAGCAGCTACTCTTCCTGGGGTCCACATAAAACATGACATAATTAACATTAATAAACAAGGACAGCTCAGGGACAGAACTACATACATTTAAAAACGGCACACATAGCCTACATATCAATATACAGTACCAGTCAAAAGTTTGGACACACATACTCATTCCAGGGTTTTTCTTTATTTTTTTTACTATTTTCTACATTGTAGAATAATAGCCAAGACATTACAATTATTAAATAACACATATGGAATCATGTAGTAACCAAAAAAGTGTTAAACAAATCAAGAGTCTGTGTGTCAGAGCTGTGTGTAAGTTGACTACATGTTATTCAATAATAATAACCGCTGGCATGCATGAAGGACTGTCTGTGTAGCCAAGTGCTAAAAATAGAACTTTTTTCTATTTGAGATGCTCCACATGATGCAAGTCCCCTCCTTATTTGATTTAATATGCCATTTAGCAGACGCTTTTATCCAAAGCGACTTACAGTCATGCGTGCATACCTTTTTTTTTTTTTTTTTTTTTTTTTTTGTGTATGGGTGGTCCCGGGGATCGAACCCACTACCTTGGCGTTACAAGCGCCGTGCTCTACCAGCTGAGCTACAGAGGACCAGGAAGATCAGGAAGATACAAACCCATGTAGATGCTTGAAAGACAAACAAGGAGAGATTCATTAAAGAAAACAAACTAAAAACTAACTTGGTTTCCCATTTTATCTGTGGATTAATCGTTGGGAGTAGAGAAACACGATTCTATACGACTCTGGGTCAAAATTCTACAAGGAACCAGCTAAAAAGAGGACCATATGCATATCAGGTAAAATAACAATTCAGTGTTAATCTCCCAGGACAAACTGCTAGCTATCTAAATGTCCATTAATGTTTCATGTGTGTTTTGACCTGCCCTAAAATGTATATAATTGATTCACAGTTGATTTTGGTATTTTAACCTGTGTGTAATGATCACATCTGGTGGGGATAGACTAAATCAACATGCGCACGATGGCGTATGAGGACGCACGCGGACACACGCAGATGTTAGGGGTTCACAGCGAATGAAACATTATTATTCTTAAGCGTAGATTGGTAACTTTTTTTCTAATTTGGCACGCCGAAACTAGATACATGAATAACTTGGTCGAAAATAATGGCACTGATTGGCCTGTACTGCATGTTATAGCAGCCAATATCCACCCTCTATTTGTAGGACTTGTGTGACTCATGCTGTATGTCAAGGACCCATAGGTCTGTCTCACTTCTTAGGAAACTTAGAACCGTACTATTATCAACTCCAATACTATTTAGACCTTATATTAAATGTGTGCTCTTTGGTGAAAACCCCTCGTTACAATGGCCTCATCAAACTAAGAGACCAATATTTTATGGGTTCTCAAAGACAAGATGGTAAGAATGGCTGAGCATGATCAGGAAATCAGACAGTGTTTATTTACGTTTTTCACAATGGTCATCACTGAAAATTGATAAGGAAACTATTAACAATTCACTTTTTTGACTATGTAATGCTAATACTTCTTCTCATGGACTATAAGTCAGATTCACTCTAAATTTGGTCTTTGGACTCATCACAATAGTCCCTAAAGAATTTCAGAAAATGACGCTGATGCATTCAAAGATGGCCATGCAAAAAATACTTCAAAAATCTTCTTCTCATCAACCATAGGACCAAATGACACCACATTTGGAATGTAGACCCATGGTACATGTCTTAACTTAGTTTGAGAAAATCTGATTTTACATGCCCATTTAAACCACTGTAAATCCACTCCACAGTGGCTTACAAACTTTGAAAAACTTGTCATCGCTATCATGGACGTCCATAAGATGAACCACACTGAATTTGGTATAGAGATCTCAAAAACAAGGAAACAATTAACAACTCAATATTTGCACATTACACTAACATGCTGACCAAACCGGCTCCTAATAACCAATGAGTAGAAGGGAGAGGCGGGACTTGCAGCGCATCAAGCATCTAAATAGAACCAAGTTCTGTGTATTTTATATGGCAGTTGTCAACAAACTTTAAGGTGCATTACTGCCACCAACTGGACTGGAGTGCGGACCTCATTCATCTTTCAGGTTCTATTGTAGCACATTGCTACGTAGAAGCCCTTTGACGCGCAAGCAGTTTGGATGAAATTATTGAATAACATGTACACTACCAGTCAAAAGTTTGGACACACCTACTCATTCAAGGGTTTTTCTTTATTTTTACTATTTTCTACATTGTAGAATAATAGTGAAGATATCAAAACTATGAAAAACACATATGGAATCATGTAGTAAACAAAAAAGTGTTAAACAAATCAAAGTATATTTTATATTTGAGAATATTCAAATAGCCACCCTTTGCCTTGATGACAGCTTTGCACACTGTTGACATTCTCTCAACCAGCTTCACCTGGAATGCTTTTCCAACAGTCTTGAAGGAGTTCCCACATATGCTGAGCACTTGTTGGCTGCTTTTCCTTCACTCTGCGGTCTGACTCATCCCAAACCATCTCAATTGGGTTGAGGTCGGGTGATTGTGGAGGTCAGGTCATCTGATGCAGCACTCCATTACTCTCCTTCTTGGTAAAAAAGCCCTTACACAGCCTGGAGGTGTGTTCGGTCATTTTCCTGCTGAAAACCAAATGATAGTCCAACTAAGCCCAAACCAGATGGGATGGCGTATCGCTGCAGAATGCTGTGGTAGCCATTCTGGTTAAGTGAGCCTTGAATTCTAAATAAATCACAGACAGTGTCACCAGCAAAGCACCCCCACACCATCACACCTCCTCCTCCATACTTTACGGTGGGAAATACACATGCAGAGATCATCCGTTTACCCACACCGCGTCTCAGAAAGACACGGCCGTTGGAACCAAAATCTCAAATTTGGACTCCAGACCAAAGGACACATTTCCACCGGTCTCATGTACATTGCTCGTGTTTCTTGGCCCAAGCAGGTCTCTTTTTCTCATTGGTCCTTTAGTATTGGTTTCTTTGCAGCAATTCGACCATGAAGGCCTGATTCACACAGTCTCCTCTGAACAGTTGATGTTGAGATTGTGACTGTTACTTGAACTCTGTGAAGCATTTATTTGGGCTGCAATTTCTGAGGCTGGTAACTCTAATGAACTTATCCTCTGCAGCAGAGGTAACTCTGGGTCTTCCATTCCTGTGGCAGTCCTCAGTTTCATCATAGCGCTTGATGTTTTTTGCGACTGCACTTGAAGATACTTTCAAAGTTCTTGAAATTGTCCATATTGACTGACTTTCATGTCCTAAAGTAATGATGGATTGTTGTTTCTCTTTGCTTATTTGAGCGGTTCTTGCCATAATATGGACTTGGTATTTTACCAAATAGAGACATCTTCTGTATACCACCCCTACCTTGTCACAACACAGCTGATTGGCTCAAACGCATTAAGAAGGAAAGAAATTCCACAATTTAACTTTTAACAAGACACACCTGTTAATTTAAATGCATTCCAGGTGACTACCATGAAGCTGGTTGAGAGAATGCCAAGAGTGTGCAAAGCTGACATCAAGGTAAAGGGTGGCTATTTGAAGAATCTCAAATTATATGTAGAATAATAGTGAAGACATCAAAACTATGAAATAACACATATGGAATCATGTAGTAACCAAAAAAGTGTTAAACAAATAATAATATATTTTTTATTTTAGATTATTCAAAGTAGTCACCCTTTGCCTTGATGCCTTGATGACAGCTTTGCACACTGGTACTGTATTTTAAGGCACTTAAATTAGAGTTTTACATGTTTAAATGGTATTTGAATAAATACAGTAAACTATGTTTGGCCTATGTTTTGCCTTTGTTTATTCACTTATATTGGTGACCTAATGTCACACATTGGCATTTTGACACAATAATATATCACACGTTGTTTATGGAATAAAGCCTTACACAAAGTTATAATGCTAGATGTTAGATAGTTTACATAAGAGCAAATTACCACAATGATGTCACCGGTAGTTGTTGAAAGCTGTCAATAAAGCAAGCATTATAATATACTGTATTATTTAAAATGAATGGATTATAATTCCTATAATAATAACACGTAAACATGCTATTTCAAGAGCCTGAAATGACTGTTCTTTTTATTTTACCCCCTTTTTTAATCTTGTCTCATCGCTGCAAAGGTCGAGTCATGCATCCTCCGAAACATGACCCGCCTAATTGCGCTTCTTAACACCCGCCCGCTTAACCCGTGTCGGAGGAAACTGTTCAACTGACAACCGAGGTCAGCCTGCAGGCACGCGGCCCACCACAAGGAGTCGCTAGAGCACAATGAGCCAAGTAAAGCCCCCCCCCCCCGCCAACCCCCAGACCCAGAGATTGGCGTCTCCAACGCCCAGCTGTCTGTCTATGAAGAGTGACTGGTCCATCGACAATCCTCCGAAGATTAGCAGCGGTCCAATGCCCATGGACACTAAGTAAGGATACTGCTCTACATGATATAACCTGTAAAAGGGGATTTCCACAAATGTTTTGTATTTACCATTTTCATTTCTGTATGAAATACTATGGGATTTTGAATAACTAATAATGCGTTGGGGAAATCTACTTGATAATTCCATAGGCTCCAACCAGACCCAGAGATCATTGGTCTCCAGTACCCAGCTGCCTGCCTGTCTATGAAAAGTTGCTGGTCTATGTCTATGGATCATCCTGAACGTTTCATGGTGGGATGCAGTTAGTCAATGTGTGATGACGATAATGATAATATAATGATGATGATGATTAAAGATGTAATATTTAATTCCTCTTTGTTGTGTTTCCCATGA